TTTTAAATCCCTTTTTTTTTTTTATAAAAATAAAAATTTTTAAGAAATTTTTTTTTTTTTTCCATTATCCAATTTTATTTTGAACATAGTTTAATAATCATGGTTTTTTTTTTTTTTTTTTTTTTTTTTATTATTCTTTTATTTTCGTCTTACTTTAAATTCCATTAATCTTTTTTCTCTCCATTTCCTAATTTCTTCCTCATCACTATTTTCATCTACTATAAAATTTAACAAATTTTTTTTTTTTTTTTTTTTTTTTTCTTGTAAGTTGAAAAATTTAATTTTGTATATTTTTCCTTTTATTTATAAGTATATATATAATTTTTAATGTTTTTTAGTTTTTTAAATATACACATAACAGTATTCTTTACTTCTTTTCCTTCATTCAAACATTCATTAAATTGCTCATAATTAGAATTTGGTTTATTGCCTTTAATTATTTTACATTCTTTTTCAATGTCTTCTTTTGCTTTTTCCTATAATTTTTATAATTAAGGAAAAAAAAAAAAATAGTAGAAGAAAAATTATAAAATTTATAATTGAAAATATTTTCAAGTAGTAAATGATTATTTTATTTATTTTTTTCTTTTCTTATATAACTAATGTTAGGGTTGTACAAATATTAGTTAATTTATTTTTTGTAATCATATTTTAATGTATTTATTAATTAAAATATCGTATTTAATGAAAATGCTTCTAATTTCAATTTTCCTAGTTTTTTTCCTTTTTAATATCATTAATATAAAATATTTACTTAAAAAAAAAGTTTATTAATTTAAAATATTCTCTTTAAAGAATTTATTTAATTTTATTTTATTTATGGCAATAACTAAAAAAATATATAAGTTGATTAAAAAGAAAAAAAATAAAAATAAAAATAAAAATGAAAATAAAAATAAAAATGAAAATGAAAATGAAAATAAAAAAAAAAATTAAGTGCTAAAAAATAAATATATATGAATTTAAACTGTATAGAATTAAAATTAATATAAAAGTTTTGAAATTCAATAAATTAATGTATATATGTATATTATGATAAGAAAATTTTTGTTAATTTAAATTCATTTCATTTAAAATGCACAAGGAAAATTATAAATATTTTTATGTATTTTCTTTATTTTATAATTTTATTCATTTTTATTAGTGTAAATTTAAGAAAATTAATTTTACAAAAATAAAATTCTGTTTTCTATTTTATATTATTATTTATTTGTTTCTATACCTATATTTCACTATATATATATATATATATATATATATATATATATATATATATATATATATATATATATATTAATTTTTTTCATTTATATTAAGACCTTCTAATTACTTTTATAATAATATTTTATTACTCTTTCTGTATAATATTATTTGTAATAATCCATTTGTCCAATATATTTTTGAAAAAATTTGAAATATATTTAGAATAAAAAAAAAAAAAAAAATAAAATGTGATATAAATATATAATTTGACAAATTATTTAATTTAAATTTTTTTCATTTCTCTATTTGTGGAATTAGTTCTCCATTCTTCTATAGGAAATGCCTAAAAAATAATATTATAAAAAAAGTGAAGAAAAATAAAAATCTTAATAAATATATAGATTTTATTAGCAAATATATATTTGTAAATTATTTGTTTATTTTCCTTTTTTTTCATGAAAAAATATATATTTATATAATTGTGTAATTTTGTTTAATAATGATGTTACTTGAAGTTTCCTAATACATTTTAAAATAAAATTGCTAATTATGATCCCAATTATAAAAGAAAGTACCATTTGAATATAAAAACCGTCTATGAACATACATTTTCCTAAAGAAAAATAAAAATATATTTATAAAAGATAATAAATAAAGTATGAAATAATAACTTATAAAAAATATATATATATATATATATAAACTAAAATAAAATTTATAATATCATATATGATTAAGTTGAAGTAAAGAAAATGTTACCTTTATAACATATTTTTCTATCAGTATAATCAAGCAACCATAAAAATATTGAAGACCACTAAAAAAAAAAAGAAAAAAAAAAAAAAATTAAAATACAGAAAATTTAATAATTATATATATTTTTATAAAGTTACATGAGATCCTAAGTTACTAATAGTATTTAGAAACGTCATATATGTTCCTCCTATTTTCGGATCTGATATTATGTTTTGAAAACTCATCTGAAAAAAATAAATTATTATTATGTTTTTAATTATAAAATATTTAAAAAATACAACATTTTTTTTTGATTATTTTATTTATTTTAATTTTTTAAAAATTTTCTATTAAATATATATATGTATTTTATTTTATTTTATTTTATTTTTACTGATGAAACAGTCATTAAATCAATACAAAAGTGATTAAATATTTGAGCAAAAAAAATATATAGGTAATATGAATAGAAGTTTATTTTAGATAATTCTGATTTATTTAAATACACATAATGAGTAATAGGTAACAAAGATGATAATATAATATTAGAAAAATATCTTAAAATATATCCATAATAATAAAAGCCTAATGGATTTGTTTTTTGTATGATTTTTCCAATAATTGCTGGAGACAAAATAGATATAGGAATATAAAAAGGATTGAAAATTGCAAATTCCTCTTTAGTTATTCCTCTTTTTAACATTTTAAAATTAGTAGAAACTTCCACTGATGCAAAAGGTAAACGACTTATTAAAAACAAAATAATAAATATTCTCATAGGTGGTAAAAATAATAATTCATATAATTTTTTATAAGTCTCTTTTGCATTTTCAAATTCTTCTTCATTATTTATTTTATTATCAAAACATCCCATTTCTTTTACCTTTTTTTTATTAGTTTCATATGATTTTTCTACTTTAAAACAAGTAAAAATAGTTAATATCAATATAAATATTCCCCAAAATTTTAAAAAAAAATTCATATCAACAAATGGTTGAAATGATGGATAAATAAAATCCATTTTTTCATACAAATTTCTATAATAATGGGAATTATAAAATATTAAATGCATATATCTTATATATTTTTTAAATATATAAAAGCATATATTTTTGTTATTTAATGTTAAAAATGATAATTGAGACATACAATATCCTATGTTTTGACCTAAAATATTACATGTAGAAGCTAAACTAGAAAAAATAAGAAAATAGCAAAAAAAAAAAAAAAAAAAAATATAAAATTTCTTCATAAAATATTGTTCTTTCTAAATCAAATCACATATACATATACTTTTATTATTATTTTATATTTTTTTTTTTTTTTTTTTTTTTTTTTTTTACTATTTATTTTCTTCTGATAACATCGTCAGTGCCCAGCCATCTACTGCAATATCTTGAGTAGCCATTAGAAAGAAAAGAACAAAAAAAAAAATTGTTAAAAAATATAAATTTATGTTATTATTTCCTTCCCCTAACCACATACTTACATATCTACTGAAATATATCATTGATAAACTACATGATAACTAGAGAAAAAAATACAATGATATAAAAAATATATTTTTATTATGTAAATTATTTATATTTATTTTATTTATTATTTTTTTCTTTTTGTGAGATAAAAGATACACTTTCTTTTTAAACCTGAATAGGAATTATCCAACTCTTCCTTCTGCCAATTTTTTTATTATAGACAGAATCGACTATAGGAGCCCATAATAATTTTAAGCTGTATATGAAAAAATTTTATATTATCTATAAATATCCTTTCTATATTTTTAATTGTTTATACTTAAATTTCATTTATACTAACCTAAAAGGTAAATTAACTAAAGACAAAATACTCAAATGGGAATAACTTACTTTATCTTGAATAATTAAAGGAACTACTGATGATACACCAATAGGAACACCTTAAAAATAAAAATATGAAATATATGCAAATTATATATGAATAAAGAATAATATATAACATGATAAATTAATAATAAAAATACATATAGATAAAAAAAAAAAAAAAAAAAAAAATTTCCATAAATTTTTTAAAATACATCAATATTAAAATATTAAAGGGATAATAGATAATACATATATTAAAATGTATTTTTTTTCCTTAATTTATTTCAATGTGAAAAATTTATTCATTTATTTTCTCAAAAGAAGTGTAACATAATTTATACCTTGTATAGTATATAATAATAGTAAAAATATTATATTATGAAAATCACTTTTTTTTTTCTGTGTTTTTCCTTTAAGATAATTAACATCTTTTATATTGCTTTTTTGCATATTTTTAATAAAATTTATAATAATTTCATATATATTTTTTATCATAATGAAAATTTATGTTATTTAATTATAAGTTCTTAATTTATCTATTTCTCCTTGAATAATTTTTTATTTATTTTACATGTTTTTTTATTATTAATAATCTTTTAAAAAATTATTTATAATGAAGCTACTTTTTTTTTTTTTTTTTTTTTTTTTTTTTTA